GCTTCATGGAAGAAGTTGGGAATCAACTAAGATGGAAGATATTATTTTGATATAAAATCAATTACAGTACGCATCATTTAATATATAGGACCTACGTCACCTACATTCCTATTGAGGGTTTGTAACCGGTTTCCAATTTCCAATCTAAAAAATTGAGGGATCCGATTGTAGGACCAATAGTTCTACTCCAAATTTTAAATGTTTGAGTGAGGTAGTCAAAATTTCAAGTTTTACTATCATTGTAAACTTCACTAAAAAGTGATTTGATAGCCGCACGCCTCATTTGAGATGGTGAAATGTTCACTTGATCTGAGATCGAATCTCTAATTGTTAACAATTAATTCATACTAATTTTCTAATCATTATCTTTGTAAAAAAAATCTAAAAAATTGAATTTCGTGGATAAATAGATGAGCGGTTGCTGAAGGAATAGTGCCCGAGCGAAACCTCCTCGTATTCCTCAAAAAATTTTGTGGAATGGGTGGAGCCCATAAGGTAAGGTGGAAAAAAAAAGAAAAAAACTAAAAAAAAAACTAACCGGATGTGACCGTTTGCACTTAACTGTCAATAAACAGAACCGTTAACTTACATTAGCCAGAGGAATGACATTTGTATGCTTTTGCATTGTAGAGGGACGACAGGTAAAGTTAATTAATGGTAGAAGGACGACATGAAGCCAATTCACAGTAAAAAGTTTAAAATGCACTATTTTTTATAGTAGAGGGACGATAGATGGCTTTAACCCAATACAATACAATACAATCCAAGCCCAACTTGTACAGTTGACAGCAAACATGGATCCACACGGTCCTGCCAATAGCATTGCAGAAAAAGGAGTAGTGAGACACGTGGCGAAAATTAATAAAAATTATAATCTTAATTTATATTTAAAAATTAAAATATCAATTTAAAATTTAATTAATTTTTAAATTTAAATATTAATATTTAATAAAATATTTTAAATTAAATAAGATAATATAATTTAAGATTAAAACTCTTTTTTTTTTTAAGATTAAGATTGATATATATTTTTTTATATTTAAAAATATTATAATTTACTTAATTAAAAATATCTGTTTCTATTCCCCACAACCATACAGGATGCCAGAGAAAAAAATACACGTTGCCGTTCGCGCGCATTGCAGTTGCGCCGTTGCGCCTGGCCGCCGCAAAAGTAGTGTCCAACTTTTAACCAATCGTGAGATTTCTTGCAGCACCCACGCGCCTCAGCAGCAACTGCAAAGCACGGCTACGGCAACATCTATTTTCCATCGGGAGGAGGAATGCTAATTCAAAAAAATACTTACTTTTTAGCTTTTTATTTTAATAAATTCATAAATTTTAATCGATTAATCCTTCACTTATAAAAATAAAAAAAAACTCTTATTTAATATCTTATTAATTAACTATTAATTTTATTAACTGATTATTAATTATATTAATTGATTATTCACATTTTGTTATAAAAA